ACTGTACTTTAATCTAAATTTTGTTTTGAATATGTGTGCCACACAAGCACAGGTTTTGTCCTACAAACACACGTTTGCGTATGTTTTTAAACTGTTGTTTTTATAATGGTAGTTGTATAAATTATGGTAAAAATTGACTTTTTTGTAACAGTTTTTTTGTCGCCGTGCTTCAGAAGGTAGACATTGAGTATCTGTAACGCATTGACGTCTGCAGAAACGCGTTCAACCATGACATTTTCAATGTTCCTACTACACTTACTACATATGTTACATTTCATCGAGAGACTTATTTTTAAATATTCAAGGCACACCACATAACGGCTAATGAACTTTTAAAAATTGTAAATAATAAAAAGGAAAAATTTATAGTATTTGTTGTTCAAATTACTACTTTATTATGTTATAAATAATATAAAAAATTGTACTATTTATTATTGTTATCATTATCACATTATTATTATATTGTAATGTAATAGGTTTTATCTATTTAAATTATGTATATTAAAAATATGAAAAATTCAAAAAATATATACAGCTCTTTCAAATAAGATTGAAATAAATATGGGTGTGACTCCCACGGAAGAGAAAAATTGTCAGTTCAGATTTCATTCTCTGAGTTATTAGTGGTTTTGTTTGTTATTTTTTTTAAATAACATTTTTAAGTGTACAATAATTGGGTAAAGGAGATTGCATTAATGTAAAATATATTATAAATAAATAGATTCAGGATGACCAATTTATCCGAAGTTAAGAATTAGATTCCATTAGGATTCAAGTAAAATATACATAAACAGATTCAAGATTCAAAAATATATTTATTTATAATACATTTTTATAACACATTTCATCAAATATCTACTCACTTCGGGACCGCTCATTTTATTGTCATTGTATGCAGATAAAGTTTTCGATTACTTCCTGAACCCTGTAGCCTAACAGCATAGTATTCTATTTATAGTTTATTGACATATACAGTACATATATCAGCCCTGTACTACATAAAACCATTAATGATTACTCGAATGCCAAACCACGCAAGAAGAAAAGAACAAAAACTTCTTCCGACGGTCTGCTAACTTTTCCAATCACCACAAAGAGTGTAAGTAAACCTGGACAACGTCGGAGGGTTAAAAGTGCCAGGACAGTGTATAAACCAATATGTTAAAACATGTATTTTGTAATGCAATATCCATCAATCTTAGTTAAATAAAGTATATAAACTGCAGCGTTCCTAAATCGACTTATTCTCATTATGTAGCATGTCCATTATGTAGCATGTCCATTATGTAGCATGTCCATTATGTAGCATGTCCATTATGTAGCATGTCCATTATGTAGCATGTCCATTTTGTAGCATGTCCATTTTGTACTTTGTCTAATTATATAGATAACGTGGCCAACACTCTGGAGTACTAAACAGTTTTCCGGATTCATTTCATTCACAGCACAGTTACAATTGAAAGAGGATTTAAATGGTCGTAAAAAAAACAAACAAAGGTTAATAATGATATAAATACATTTATTTCTACACGAATATCTCGGTCGTCCCTGTAGTTAACCTTCTTTAAACGGATTATTTAATAAAAGAGACTAAAGTCTATTTAAATTAAACAAGGACCACATTCAATTGAACACGAACTATAGTGAATTCAAAATGAACCATGAATTTAATTGAACATCGACAACTGTATTAAAAAACACACATTGTACGTTACCATGGAGGTACACCTCAATGAAGTTACTAATGAGCCAAATATTAAATTGAACATAGATCGGGTTTCACTTAGACCATCCAATCAATAAAACATGGTCTACACCATGTTAACTGAACATGGACAATGTATACAAACACCATGCATTACATTCAACAATGACTACATATTCAATTGAACATGGAACATTTGCAATTAAATGCTGATGATATGGCTTGTATAGTGCATTTATCAAATACAATATACACAGATGTTTCTATATTTAATTATCAGTCAACAAGAAAATTAACACTAAAAGATTTAATACACTACAAAAGTTATTATCCAGAGAAGCAGATTGACAACTGATGCAAGTGTATGATCTAATTCAAGTCATTCTTTGTGAAAACTTATTAAAAAATAAACTTACAAAATACTCCTAATATACATATTACCATTGATTTTCAGAAATTCAATAAAATTATTATACAGGAAATAGATATCAAATTCTTTAAAAAATCATTAATAAAATAAAATAGAATATAAAAGGAAAATACAATATAAAACAATAATAATTAATGCTTAACTAATAAAGATATAATAAATAACTAAATATCCCATAATATACCATTATCATGTTACATATTAATAAATAATTTTATATTACATGTTATATTTCCTTCGATATAATTGTAATGCTACACCTATGTAATAACCTTTGACACAAAACACATTTAGATGATTTACTGTTTACTAAATTGTATAATAAATTATTGGGCATTGCTTAACATAATGCTTGCATTTATAAATGCATATATGTGCTACACTGTATAAACACAGACAACTTTTGAAGTACAACAAACAACTGTTGTATGCCCATATATAGTCATGATGTGCCTATTATGGTCATGATGTGATGTCATCATTACCATATATAAATATGTCACATGCAGGCTGGAAAGGGCTTAACTCATAATTTTATTGACCTTTGTGTAATGATAAATAGGAATTAAAATTGAATAATGCTGATACAGCCAATTATGCAATATAAATTTAAGGATGTTTATATTATATATGGATAACAAACGTAAACATAAACAAACTATATAAAAATGTTTTTGCTTGTTAATAACACTAAGAACATTTTCTGTATTATATAATCATTTAAATTATTTTTTAAAAACAGAAATAAATGATGTATTTAAAAAATGGAGTGGGCAATTAGTGTGCAACACAATAATGAATGTCAGGTCTCCCTCCAATTAAAGACCAGTTTTGGGACCGGGGTTTCCATGGCCTTTAGCAACTTTTGTCTCTAATTAGAAAAATAAAATACTGTAACGGACATTTGTTAATTTGGGATCACAGAAAAGTGGTTTTTAATTGGAGGTGGTCTTTAATTAGAGGGAGACTTGTATAAGAATATTTCCACTTAAAGACCATTGTTGGGATCAGGGTTGCCACTGTCTTCAGCAGTTTTGGTCTCCAATAATATAGATAATAATAAAGATACTGTAACAGACATTTGCTAATTAGGGACCACAGAATTAGAGTTGAACTTTAAATAGAGGGAGCCCTGTATAAGAACCTGGTTAAGGAGACTATAGTACTGGATAACATCAAGATCATCCTAGCAACAGACACCAACACCTTTCATAATCACCACCACTACCAATAGGCCAAACAAGAATTCCTGTGCTGGGGCCACATTTTGGGTAAATCCAAAAAAAGGGTAGGTTGGTAGGAAAAAGTTTTTTTTTTACCAATAGAATAGTGTGTTTACTTCTTATTATTAAGCAGCTAACTTCAATTTGAAGGCTCTGCCCCTCCAGCTCACTGAGTTTTGTATCTGTGTATCAGGTGTGTGGTATTCTTTTTTAAAAATCTAAATAAATACAAATGAAAGAACCGAAAAATAAAATAATGTAATCAACACCACCATAACCACCACCATCATCATCACTATTATCAGCAACAGTACAAACAAAACCCCAAATCACATACATCCAATACAGTGTATCTAAATAGATACAATTTGTTATATTACTGTTATATGTCTTGCATTTTACTCAACAATATACAACTGTGCATATATAAATCCCATGTTTTTAATAAAAAAGACAGTGATAATGGGCCTTTCCAGGGCGTCAATCAAACTGACCAATAAGAAAGGTCCACGGAATTTTGGTGCTCTGGATTTTGTACACATCTTGATGGTATTGGCTACCTATAAATCTTGATGTGTCGTACAGCAGTTGTAAGACCATCGGCCGATGAATCCAACTCCACTCTTTGTGGATGGCTAGAAGAAGCGATGCCGTCGCCTGCTGATTGTCGTTGGCAGTTTGAACGGATTGTCATTAAAAACAATCCCTTGCGTGCACGTCGTGGCGTTGAGTTCTCCGTAGAATCGCATAAACTGACGATTGTTGGGGGAAGTGAATAACAAGCTCTAAACATGGGTTATAAAGCAAGCATTGCCCTGTCTATATCATTGTACCCTACATCAGTCAGTCATCAAGTGGGTAAAACCACAGCATGGAATGGCAGTAAACTAAGGGAGTATACATCAACAAATGGGGTGTGAAGCCACAGCACAGAATGGCACTATCTTTCGGAGGATTTAATTGCTTTTTCCTTTCCTTGTTTTCTTCTGGAATCAAAGCGGGCGTTTCACTATGGAATTGCATGTCAAAGAAATCAAGAGAATTGTGCTGCTGAGGCGTCATTGCTTGCTTTCGTCTCGGAGAGCTTGATCCACATATTTCAGTTACCATCCACCGTGTTTAAAAGAACTTGTGCTTCAGGAAATATGTCGGCAAGAATCCTACAAACATTTGCAAAAAACAAATAAAAATTTCATCAAACACATCTTTTGTACTCTGTATGAAAATAGATGGTTTTGCAGATAGTTTTCAAAAGAACTGCAGTTGTGTATTATATGCCTTATTTTATAATAATAATAATAAATAATAATAATAACATAATAAAAATAATAATAGCAATAAGAACAAAAACAACAACAACAACAACAATAATAATAATAATAATAATGATAAAAATTTTAACAGTAATAAGAAACCCCCCCCCTGATGATGATGGTGATAATAATAATAATTAAAGGTGTGTAGTAATAATAATAATGATGATGATGGTGATAATAATAGTAATTAAAGGTGTGTAGTAATAATAATAATGATGGTGATAATAATAGTAATTAAAGGTGTGTAGTAATAATAATAATGATGATGATGGTGATAATAATAATAATTAAAGGTGTGTAGTAATAATAATAATGATGATGATGGTGATAATAATAGTAATTAAAGGTGTGTAGTAATAATAATAATGATGATGATGGTGATAATAATAGTAATTAAAGGTGTGTAGTAATAATAGCCTCATGTACTACACATTATCCCTGGTCACTGGATTAAACACCCTTTGGAATATATATAATAATAACAACTTTATTTAACCACGATAAACATCACCTCAGTAGTGTTTTTCATCAATGCCGTAACAGACATAATAATTAAACTTAATTTTAAACAAAGAATAATATTAATTACAGAAAATACAAGGAAACTTAAAAAACAAATTAGGAAACAAAAATTAAAACATCAAAATACAAATTACGAAAAATTATTGTAATACACAAAAATGTGCTAATCTAAGATAATAGATTGAGTTGCTTATTAAATGTAGGCTACTGATTATAGCCTTTCAAAAACAAAATATAGCTTAATTAAATTTTAGCATGTATCTATAAAAATATTTATTTGTCTTTTAATTAATTAATTTAATTTACATTTCAAGTTAGAAAGAGTAGTTGGAGTATTGAGGTCATCACTTAGTTCATTCCATAATTTGCACCTCTGTAGGAAAGACAATGTTTTTTTTATAATCTGTTCTAGGTTAGGAAGTATTAGTTGGTTTTTAGATCGGGTGTTATAAGAACTTTCTTTAATATTGAATCTACAATATAGGTAAGCTGGTGCCAAATTATTGATAATTTTGAACATAGTGATGGCTTCACTTTGAAACAGACGCTTAACAAGATTATCTATAGCTGTGCAAGTCTTGACTACTAGAATCTCTTCTGTTTTTCGTATAACTTTGGCAGGTGTTTTCCATAGTTTTCACAAACACAAGCTCTCTGGGGGAGTATTCCATAACGTTGCAGCAGCGTTTTAACCTCTCTTTGGTTAAAAGTAAAATTTTCATTTTTTAGCGTTTTAAATTGATTTTTTGGGTAATAGTATCTTTTAATGGATTTTGCCAAAAGAATCAAGTGGTTGGCTCCCACTATCCCTCAAGCGTATAAAACGATCGACGTGATATATTGACTTCAGGTTCGATGGGTCGCGTCTGAGTGCTTGAGGTATAATTTGGGTCGTGGGCTAAGAAGTTTGGCAGAATTGGGGTCTATACACTGTGCACTGTCAATTTTACATGGAAGTTTTAAGGGTGAAATAGGATATGAGCAGGGGATTGTCTCCCAGTAGTACTGGAGCATAATAAAGTCAGGTGCTTATACAATCAACGGAAATTTTAAGGCTGTCTATTGTGCCTGAATTGATCACTAGAATTTGCAGTTCTTAACATCCTTTTCTTTCTTTTGCAAATATGGCACACTGTCACTCCATCTTTATGGTAGCTTTTAAATTACCAGTTTCTTCCATGAATGAGTGGATATGACAGCTGTATAATGTATTTTCTGAGGGGAGGGGGCTAAATTGGGGACTTGAGCTGGTAGATGTGAGCAGGAGAGGTTTGTGAGGGGTTAACTATTAAAACAGAAAAAAAATAAATAAAAAGCAAAAAAAATAAAATAAATAAATAAATAATTAAAAAGTAAAAAATTATTTTTTGTTTAAAAAAAAGTAACATATTAACTAAACAATTATAATAGTAACTACTTATAATAAATATGAAAATATTAACTACATCTCCAGTGGAGGGATGCCAATCGCCTTCTCCAGGTCACCTTGTGTGAAGAACTCGTGGTAGGTTAGTTCCTGTCAGAAAAACTCAAACATGTGACAAATGTTTGTGCAATGTACCCAAATATTGGCATTTCATTCATTTGTCACATAAAATTTGAATGTGGACAAAAAATTCACAATATTTGAAAAAAAAAAATAATTTATTATTAACAGTTTGTTATTCCATCAAGTTACATAGAACATAGAACGATGGATGGCAATAAAAGTAGTAAATCAAAATATTTTTCTACAATTATGTAAACATTAATTTATTATTTACACCAAAACATATTGGTCCAGGCTACAATTCAAAACTTTAGGGGGAGGGGAGGGTCCCAATTGCTTGAAACTTGTGTGAATCTGACTGTAATCAGAACACCCTCCCACAAGCAAGCAAGAATTTCCAGGAAAAAACACATCTCCTGCAAATTCATAATATTTCCATGTTTTCACTGCTTTACCATCAGTTGTCTCATGGAAGTCAGTGCTCATGGGTATCAGTATGTGCAGAAAATAAATTTAAACGTGTTATGAAGGCTCATTAACAGATCGGTGGTGGATTCAAGGAGAGAACCAGCTGCCCCCAACCCCTAACTTTTTCAAAATTTTTTTTTTTTAAATGAGGGGGCGGGGAGCAAAAAAACAATTATATTCAAATTTAAGTGTGAGAGTGCCATTTGCACCCATCGTGAGGTGCCATAATCATAAATTTTCTTACCTCAGCTCTAGCCCCTCCATCTGTGAGATTCCCACCTGGGCTTCTTTTCCACTTCAAATTCCTGAATCTGCCACTGAGGATTTCATGGAATTGACTACTTTCAACTTGGACCCCAGGGCAGGTTCCCTCTTAACTCTGTGATAGGTACGTATAGCAATCTTCTTTGTTGTCTTCCATCCCTTTGTCTGATCTGATGAGTCACAACTTGTCATAAGTTAACACAGCAACAGTTTCCTACATTTTGCATCTTCCTTTTTATATCCCTCTGTAATAAATTAAAAATAAAAATATATACCGGTATATATAAAAAAAAAGTAAAAAAAAAAATTACTGAAGCAAAATTAAGTTTAGTTTAAAAAACATAATTATTTATTTTAAATTTATTTGCTATATATATTTGACATTTTGTAAGCATAAATTTCTATACACCTAAAGCTCTGTCCAGATTATATGCCCATATATAGTGACTATATATGGTCATGATGTGATGTTATCATGCCCATATATAGTCATTACATGCCTATATATGTTCCTGATGTGACTCACCATGACCATATTAGGCACGCAATATACTGAATATAGTGAATTCCAGGATTTTTATCCTGGAAATTTTGACCCACTGTATGTTTTGAAAAAAACATTTTCGGTGTTCGGTATAACTGACAGATTAATTTATAATACAAAAGATGAAAAAACAATCTTGAAAATCTAAATTGAATTTATAATACACTGAAGTGATTTGATGTCAAATTATAAAACATGATAGGCTTGACTGGAATGCATGTAGTTATAGTGGCTGAAGGCCACCCATCCTTGGAGTTTTCCACTCAGTCACCCAGTTTAATTTGGCCCTCCGCTACCCTAATTAACCCAATTTTCCTTTCTTAAAATCCATATTTTATTATTTAGTGTTTACTGCTGTTATCACCCACCAACCCTTAAAATGCCTATAAAATTAGTTTTTGAACACCTAACAGGCGAGACCCCTGAAATATCTTGACTTTCATCCTGGCAAGAGCAAGCGTCATAACCATTAGACCCCTTTGTGGTCTAATGGTTATGATGCTCACCTTTAGCGAGAGGTCACAGGTTCAAATCCCATCAGAGGCATTTTATACACAATTTCATTATTTATTTATAGGATATAGATTTGTTGAGAGCTATGCTACACGATGTATTATCATGTCCGAATTTGAAACTAATACCTGTCTCTTATACACATCTAGATGTTTATAAGAGACAGCCACCTCACCTTCGTGATATATTAGTACGATCTAAATTCAAGAGGCAAATTAACTCTTGCGACAACCATAATTTGGGTAGTCATCTTTGTGGTTCACCATGCAAAACATGCTCCTTGCTTGATTCTACACAATCATTCAAGAGCAACCAAACTAACCACATATTTCGGATAAGGCAATCAATTAATTGCCTCACCAAAAATGTCATTTATCTCATATATTGTAATATTTGTGACAAACAATATTTCGGAGAAACAAAAAACACTCTCCGTATGAGAATGACACAACACAGATCAGCTATCAGAACATCTAAGCTTGATCAACCAGTAGCCGAACATTTCAATTTAGCTGGTCATTCAATTTCAAATTTCAAAGTGATTGAAA